ATGCGGATTCGAACCCGCGACCCTCAGATTGTGAGTCGAGCGCCTTATCCACCTGGCCATGCCGGGCACAGTTAAGTAAGTAATGCAGGATTTATTCAGTAATTTATTCATAATTAGTCTGGTACAATATCTCGACCATGTAAGCTTGAAATGACTTTAAACCTAACTCTCCAGTCAAGGTGACTGTCTATTGTAATGAGTAAAATACATTTTCACTGTGTTTCTTTGAATAAATGTTGTTTATTGTGACTGTACATTTACATCCAGTCTATCTTTATTTCTCCCGGACTCAATTAATGAAAAAATACAGAATTGTGTCCCAGTAAATATCTGGATGAATATCCTGTTATTCTACAAACTTGTCTTGTCACACTTAAGAGGAATTAAAGTAAACAGGAAGGAGATATTTTTGATGTCTGAGTACAGGATGTCTTATTGTGAAATCTTATGTTTTTCATCTAATATGTATTTGCTCTTTACTTAAAATCCTGTGTATCCAAGCTTAAAAACTTTATTTTGAAGATATGTCATTTTTCATGGCTTGAAGATCTTATGACCAAGAGGAAGAGTTTGTCAATGAAAGGAGACAGTTTCCCAACAGAATTATTGGATCTAGTAGACGTCCTCTTTTTGACACAGGACTTTCACCAATGCCATAAAGGTTCAGGACTTCTTTCTGTTTGCAGCTGATGACTCAGGAAGGAGAGCTGCTATATCTGGTGTACCAATGTCAGTAAATCGAGTTCTCTCTCTGAAGAACAAATGACTACCAGGCTTTCAACAGTTAAAATCCCCCCCCTAACACACAAAACTCTGGTTAAAACCACTAAAGAATAAGCAAAAAGACTGTGGTTACAGTTGTGAGCCAGGAAGTATCCTGCCAGGGAAATCGTGAATTATGGGAAAGCCTGGAGTCGAGTATTACTGATTGATGAGATTCCAAGAGCAAATTATCCTTCTGCCACCCTGGACTATAGACTGACTTCTTGTCTGAGAGTAAGGGTC